TTCTTATACATTCACTTAAAGAGTGTTAAAATAGAAAGTAATATTAATAGAAAAATCACTTTCTCTCTTCATTTGCTCTCATTCCCACCACCCTTACCACCACAATTATCATCATTATTTTTATTATTATTATCATCACTACCACTTCTATTGTCAACATTACTAGCATTATTGTCTCTATCACATTATCATTGTTATCATTATTTTCATTATCATTATTTTTATCATTGTCATTACCATTATTATAATCATTTATTCGTTGTCACCATCATTTCACTACAATTACATATATCATTATCATTATCATTGTCATTACCATTATTTTTTACATTATCATTATTGTCATCACTTATAATCATTGTCATCATCACTACTATTATTTATCATTATTATCATTATAATTGACATCATCGTCATTATCATTGTCATGATCATCATTCCTACTTATTATTACTTACTCTTAATCAAATACATGACAGAATAACACAAGAATTTTATCAAATGTGCACCAAACATTGAATGAATTAAATCTTATCTTGATTTTATTTCATTATGTCCTTATATCTTATTCAATTTTTTTTATCTCCACCCAATGAACCTTAAGCAAAAATATATTAAAAACTAAAAGAACTAAAGCATTGGAATTACTCAAAGGTCTTAATTTCATACTCCATAATATTAAATTTCATATAAAATTTTAACTTAGATTAATTTAGATATATATTCGAATTATATTTAATAACTTTAAATTAATTTCAGCAAAACTCAAACAAATGAGATGAAATGAAAAAAGGTTGTACTAAGTATCAACAGAGGTTGAGTCACAGAAGAAATTAGTCTCTCATAACACAGTAACTCAAAGTTCAAATACCCATTAGGTGAGAGATGTTTATGTTTGGTACCCTGCTATATTATAATGAATATTCCATCCGAAAGATAATATATGTGAAAAAAAAACTGGAAAAGATTACTCCTAGTTTATGATATTTTGAGAGCATTTCGTGTGCAGTCAAGCTTGATTGCATATATAATCGTTCCATTGTAGCATCTCCAATGTAGTTCTTGAGGTAATAAGATTCTTAACTCATTTTTAGTAGATCTCACTGTGCTACATTAGATCGATTTAAAAACTTTCTACTTTGGTAGTACAATCTTCTAATAACTTAAAATGGGTTTAATATATTATCTCACAAAATTTTTTTGATAACAAGAACTTGTTGCTTGTATAAGAATACATTCTTACTGCTGAAAGCTATGTCAACCAGCTTTTTCAACGGAGATCATTAGTAAGATCTAATTTTTAAACAAAAACTTTAAAATCTCAGTAATTTCCTCATGAGTGCTAAAATGACACTATAGATTGAGCAAGTCAACTGCTAAAAATATTATAGGTGAAGAAAACCCATAATGGGACACATTTTAAGATGGGTTGACAAAGATGGAGATAAATCATATCTTTGTGGGACCTAATATATAAAATAATAATATAATACGAAGTTAATTGTGCAAAAAAGAATAATTAGAGTTTATTTGTTAGAGAGAAAAAAATTGAATTGCTTAGATTATCAAAATGATGATATGACATTGTAAAAAAGTCAAAATATTATTAAAAATATGTGCTTAGCAACTAACTTTATACTTGATTGTGAACATTTCTCATGAGGAACCAATACATGACATGCCCAATTATGAGCAATTTTTTCAGGAAGGTTCCTGTGGAGCGACAAGGACAAAGCTGAGATAGATTGTGACTGATGACATGCATGGTGGTGTATTTAACTTCTCTGAGGAAGGTATGCATTCTGAAATGGTTTACATTTTGATTTTGTACGTGGAATTTAGTTTTTAGCAATTGTTGCTTTCTGATCGTGCATCTATATAGTGGTGTGTAATATAAGCACTTGAAGATGTGTATTACAAAAATAGGAGCTATTGAGAATAATTTCCTTTACATATATAGTAATCACCTTACCTGTATTATTCATGTTTTTCTTAGAATTACACAACGTTTCTTGCAGGTTCATGAATACTTTTTGTTTTTTCATGTGTGCCAATCACTTCAAGTTGTTGTAAAGGATTTATTGATTGACAAAATGTTGCTGACTATTGATTCAAGGAATTTTCAAATGTCGCTCACAATATTCCTTTGCAGGAAAATGATTATTATTATTTTTTTCTAATATTCCTCAATTTACAAATTATTTGTGTGGGCACTGGGCAGGTTCTTATGTTTCTCAAATATGTTATCTTCATACCATTAATCTAAAGGAATTAGAGTGGGGGGAGGTTGGGAGGGGAGAGAAATAGGAAATACAAAGAAAGAAAGAAAGAAACTAAGAACATGAAATAGTTTGTTACCTGTTTCTTTGCACTCAATTTGTGCATGATTGTTTATTTCTCATAAAACACTTGGTAGATTCAAGAGATTTATTCGTTGTCAGGAAAATAAGAAATATGGTCCTTTAAAGGTATATTTTTAAATATTGTTTCTTCTGATAACGAATTTGTAGTGTAAGACCTTGGGATAATGTAAGTGACTAGGTTCTCCACCAATAAGCCACTTTTTCCCTTTCAATGCTACCAAAGTAATGTTTCTTAGCTTATTAATTTATATTGGCTTTTATTTTGGATAACTTTACATTGCCTTATTACTGTTTGAGAGTCCAATATGAAATACTACTAGCATATATTGAGGTCGAAGAGAATTGAAAAGACTCAGATATCAATATACCAAAAGAAAAATTAAAATTGCTTATACTTTTAATTATGAACAATAAATTAGATTTTTTTTATCATAAATATATTTACCAATTATTAATTTTTAAAGTTATTTAAAAATAATTTTTTTATACTCTTAATTAATTATTAACTTTATTTCTTATACATTCACTTATAACTAGTATTAAATATAACAATTATTTAAAATAAAAGATATTTTTAGAATAAAATTAAAATTTATCATAAATTAATTAAAAATAATTAATTTATTACTTTTGTTTTGTCTTGATGA